CCAGCCCCCCCTCACCTTGTGCAGCCCCCGGCAGTCCAGCAGGGCCGTCAGCTGGTGCAGGCTGCTCTCTGAGGAGTTGAGGAGCTGCTGGACACCCAGAAGGTCTTTCTGTGGGAAAAGGGGGGTCAGGCAGCTCTGGGGAGCAGAAGGAGGGATGGGGATCCCTGTTCCCCCATCCTGTACCTCAGCTGTTGGGAAGAGGGGCAGTGCATACTGGATGAGCCCCTGGATCTGGATCTGCATGGTGGTCAGCGAGCGCTGGAACACGGTCAGAGCCTGCAGGGGGGAGTGGGGAACAGTCACAGACCCCTCCCCAGCCCCAGGACACCCCCGGCCCCAAGGGGGGAGTGCCCCCTGCCCCTGTACCTGCTGGAAGGGGCTGCTCAGGCTCTGGTCACAGTACAGGTAATAATGAACCACCTCTGCAGAGAGAATGGGAACATCAGCAGGAGCATCCCAGGGCACAGGGAGCTGTTGGGGACACAGTGGCAGTGGGGGGCACCGGACCCCTGGCTGTGTTTTGGGGTCCTGCCCGTGCTCACCTCACAGCCAGCTCTCACCTGCGCTGATCTCATCGTCTGTCTGGTTCATGATGAACTTGTCCGGGGCCACGCAGAAATCGCTGGTGCCCTGTGGGGACAGAGGGACGTCCCTGATGCCCACAGCGCTCGGCACAGCCCCAGCCAGCCCTTCCCTCCCCTCCTGCCCCACTCACCACCGCGGCCGCCGTGTCCACGGCCAGGGAGGCCCAGGTGAGGACCAGCATGAGCAGCCCACAGCACAGCATCCTGCAGGGAGAGCGGGGAGCACGAGTGGGGAGCATGGCTGGGGGTCCCCACGAGCCCCATGACCATCCCCGGGGTACTCACATGACCAGGAGGCAGCGGGAATGCTTGGCCAGCCCCAGGCAGGCCAGCAGGCAGACGGTGAGGACGAGGATGAAGAAGAGCAGGTAAGCCAACCACCTGTGTGCAGAGGAAGGCTTTGTGACACACGGCCAGCTCCCCAGCCCTGCTGGGACACCCCAGAACGCTGGAGCTCACCGGTAATACTCGACATAGGCGACCTGTCCCGACAGCTCGGTGAGGTCAGCGCTGACGCCCCGCCAGGCCGGCAGCCCCTGGAGCTGCAGGGCAATGCTGCTGGCCAGCTGCTGGGTGAACTTGAGGGTCTGCACGTAATCCCCCCGCGAGGCCAGGAGCTCGTTCAGCCGCGCCAGGTGCTGCTCCAGCTCTCCCTCCATCTGCAGCGTGGTGCTGGCAACCTGCGGCCACCGGGATGGTCAGCACCCACCAGCCTGCCAGAGCTGCCCCCATCCCTGGAATGCTCTTTCTTCCACCCCGCTGCGCCCAAGCTGGATCCATCCTCCAGAACAGCCCTGCCATGGCCCTGACCCGGCCCTGCCGGCCCACAAAGGTCCCATTCTGTGGGGTGACGTCACCCTCCCGCGCTCGGCACGGCACAGCCAGCCCGCGGGCTCGGCCCCACGTCCCTGCCTGTGCTTTTACCAAACCCAGCACAGGGCGTTGATGCACCCTGGGGACTGCAGCCCTACCAGGGAGTCGATGCCAGTGAGGGTCTGGTTGGCGTGGTCCAGGGCATAGAGCAGCTGGAAAACCCCGTCGTTGGTCTCGCTGTTCCCATAGAAGCCGATGCCAACGGCCGCGCTGTGGGCAGAGAGGGGAGCCCGATGAGAGGGGAGGGACACGCTCACCCCGCTGGACAGGGGACACTCCCCGGGGTGTCCTGCTTTTGGGGCAGGGCAGAGACAAAGAGTGGGACAGGGACAGCGCCACGATGGGAACTTGCTCCTGCTGGTGGCCAGGGGACAGCCGGAGCCACTCTGTGGGCATGGTGGGTTGGAAGCTCCTCCTGCCAAAGCCTGAGAGATTGAGGGCAGAGGGGCTGGGCCAAGCAGATTAGGGGGATCCGCTGGAAGCGCCGTGGCTCCTGATTAAACCTTCGGCTGGGAGCTGAAGCGGCTCCAGGCCCTGTGGCGAGCTCCCTGCAGCTGCTGCAGAGCTCCCCACGGAGCTGGGATGGAGCTCAGAGCTGGCTCCGAGGACAGAGGTGCCCATGGCCGTGTCCTGAGCACGTGCCCACACGTGGCCAGTGCACACGGTGCTCGCCAAACCCCGGTACAACCGACAGACACCGGCCAGCTAACGGCCACCGTTAGCCCTTGCATGGCCACCAACGGGCTGCTGGGGGGGTTCAGAGCCCCCGGGAGCTGCAGAGTGGCTCTCTGCCGTGGTGGGGGGGCTGGGGGAGCTCGCTGAGCTCATTAGTGCTGTTTCCCTGTCTCTCTGTTTCCGTGCTCCGTGCGAGGCTCGCAGGCAGCCATCTCGCTCCGCCCCGGCCAAGCGGCCCCTTTGTCTGGAGCGAGGGTCGTGGCCAGGCAGCCAAAGGGGCCCGTGGCCCATCCTGCTCCCCCCAGGCCAGCAATGCCAGGGGACACTCGGGACAGCTGCCCTGAGGGTCCTCCCAGCCGTGGCTGTCCCGAACCGAGGTGGGCTTGGACAGCCCCCAGAGCGGTGCCGGGTGAAGAAGCATCATCCCCTTGTCTAATTGTTGTGGCTGCAATTAAGGTCGGGCACAAGGGAGCTGCCAGCTGGGTCACGCTGCCGCCCGCCATCTGCTCTGGGCTGGGATTAGTGATCGGCCACGTTCCCGCCCGGGATTAGCCGGGAAGGCGGCACAGCCGTGACGGGGACGGGGATGGGGCTGGCCCGCAGCTGGTCCCTGGGGCTGCCCCAGCAGCTGCACGGGAGGAGGCAGGGATGGAGCGCATTTAATTGAACAGATCTAATTAAAGCGACTCGCGGCTGGAGCGCAGAGTCCCCTCGGTGACAGGGGGACAGCACCGGGTCCCTGTCCCCGTCCTCACCAGCAGATGAGCCCGGCGGTGACGGCCATCCAGGTGACAAAACACGAGTGGGGCCGCTTGGTCTCGGGGTCCTGGTCCCTCTTGCAGCAGCACAGGCAGATCAGGTACACGATGAGGAAGAGGAGGTTGAGGCCGAGGCACACGGCGGCCACCAAGCCCAGGAAAAGCAGCGACTGGAAGGAGAGAGGGGACAGTCATGAGCCGTGACCCGCTGTTGTGGCCGGGATGCGGCCGCGTTCAGCCCCACGGGACTGTCACGTGCGGAGGAGGAAGTGTCCCTTGTCCCCATCCCTGTCCCCATTCCCACGCAGGGCCCCCGAGCCGCGGTGGCCGAGCCGGGGGGTGCAGCCGCCGCTTGCCGGGGATGTCGGG